GAAGAGACTGGCTCAGTGACTTGTCCAAACTTGGCAAGAGGTGGAGTCGGGAGTCATGATGGAGCTCTCCAAAGCCCCAGCCCCTCAGCACTAACAGGCTGTGAAGGGGGATGATGGTGAAAACTCCAGAAAAGACCAACATGTACTGGAGGAAGTTAGCTGCTGGTTCACTTTTGGGAGGAAACCAGATGGAAAAAAAAGCATGACACTCAGCAGCAGGCTTTCCCAGCACGAGTACAGAGCACTCTGCTCATCAAAGGTCCCCCTCCAAGCGCTTTCACAGGCAACACTGAATACTAGAAATAACATGTTATTGCTCCTGAATCCTCCAAGGTCAAGAGCTCTGCCAGATGCCATTGCATGAAAAGTTACTTATGAGATCACCTGGCTATCAATTTGCTTGGGCTGCTATAACACAGTACTATAAAATGGTCAGATTTAACTACAGAAGTGTCTTATCTCACAGTTCTGAAGGCAATAAGCCGAAAAGGCAAGAGTTGGCAGAGCTGCTTCCTTCTGAGGGCTCTGGTTGGGTTGGGGGTCAGGGAACTATTCCAGTACATGAAACTGAGTGTTTTCATGTTCACACAGCATCTTCCCTATATATCCTCCCAGCTTTTCTCCAAGTTCCCTCCCCCCCAGTTATAAATACTCGAATCTTTTGGATTAGGGTCTGCCCTGATGACTTAATTTTAACTTAATTACTTCTGAAGAAACTACAGTCTACATTTTAAGGTATTACAGAATAGAACCTTCCCATATATATTTAGTGGGGGCCTCATACCATAAATGTTAGCCTAACTTTTGACTGTGAGCAGCCTTAGGACTCTTTAACTTGAACATTTAAACAGCATACCTACCAGTGCAGAGTATTTTTAGAGAGAGGGCTAAAAATTAAATCTGATTTAATAATTTGGCATAGCCTTTTTCAAAATTCTGGTAAAATCTTTATGCTCCATAAACCTCTTAAAAGATCCATTTCTCAACAACAACAACAAAAACGCCAAGTATTTTAAATGGTGAAGATGTTAATTAGTATGAAGTAAGTATTCAGCATTCGCGTCATAAACTATAACATCATTTTTTACCCCATAAATATACACAACTCTAATTTATCAACTTATAATTTTAAAATCAACAAACCTATTCTAACCTAATGATGACCAGTCCTTTCCCTGCCCCAGATCACTACGGGAACAATGGGGTAGATGCCACTGAGCACCGAATTTCAATACAAAACAACAAATCACTTTCAAATCATTAGAATTATTCATCAATGAACCTTTGTAATTCTAAGCAAATGACCTCAAAGAGAATACCATAAGATAAAAAAACTTGACTTATATTAAAAAAAAACAAAAGAAAGTATATAAAAAGAGAAAATATTTGCTAAATATGTAACAAAAATAAAAACATTATCTCTAGTGTTCATTAATTCAATAATTATTTCCTGAGTGGGGACTATACATCTGGTTCTACTTCTAGGCTCAGTCAGATATATAACAAAAAAACTATAGCCCTCACAGAGCCAACAAGTCAATAAAGCCTACCTCACATTCCAACAGAATAAACAAATAGAAGCCATGAACAAAACAAGACATGTACACTGACACAAGTCGGCTTTGTTTGTGTTTGAACCTAACATATTGGTAGGACTTTGGATGTGTGTGCTGATGACAAGGGTACAGAATATGGATCTGTTCAATCAGCCTTCTGAAGAGTAAACCTCAAGTATGCCCAGCATTAGCTTTAGCAAATTTAAAATCCTCAAATGCATTTTACTTTGGCTCCACTGTAGAAATCGTGCGTCCACTGACCAGAAATGGGACCTCCAAAACAGAGTATTTTAACGTGGGATCCCTCTAATCAAACTTGAACACAGGTAGGGCAGGTCAGAACCTTCAAGGTAGGGATAGAGAATTCCAGGAATGGGACTGTACACTGTCTGATAAGCAAATACGACAATGTCTGGTTCAGTTAGGTTTTATCATTTGACAGAAGCACTTCAACTAAAGGACAAAAAGATATCCAGTTCTTCTCCATTCTGGTGGGTTTTGATGCTAGGTCATTCACAGTTCAGTTTTTACAATATTTTCTCTCTTTGGCCCAGCGATTCAACTTCCAAAAAATAATTTACCCTAAGGACGTAATCGGGTTTTATTCAAAACATTGGTAGGATTACAGAAATTATTTAAGAGTTCTGAATAAATAAGAAGGGGATGAAGCGCCTCTTAATAACTTTTCCTTAAAATGTTGGCTATGCTTAAAGAACACCAAAGGCAAGCGCACTCCACTTTGTGTCCCACATATTTAGACTTTGTTTTGCAAATGTTTTTCTAGTTACCATGGTGACTTCTGGATTTCTCTGTGTAAATGGGAAATTGGGAACCTCGTTTTCTTAAAAAAAATGATTGGTGTGTTCTTTTTATCCTGGTAAGCTCATTCTATGCTGACAAATTACATTCTGACAGCTAGGTTGTAATCCAAAACATGCTTTTTTACAGACTGTGAATAATAAAGAATTTTCAGGGGTTGACAGTGATTTTTCATTTATATTTTTTGGCATTTGCTGCCATTGAGTCGAAAAGATAAACTCTAAGGTTAGGTACTTGGTATGCTTTTTAAATAACTCAGAAATGTAGACTTGCTTGAAAATCTGGACCTATGTCAATTTGATAACTGCACTTGTCAAATGTGGTGTAAATAAGTGACATTTCTTTCTAAGTCAGGCTGGACCTAACTGTCACTAATAGTTGCGTGACCTGGGGCAAGCAGTCTAACTCCTGCAGCCCCAGTTTCCATCTGCAAAATGAGAAGCAGCGATGTTATGGAGTCTTCCCAAGGCTATGTCTGTTGAGGAGGGTCTCATTATCACAAAGCAGCTTGATTATTACAGAAAAAAAAAAAACGAAGTATAGGAAAAAAAAAAAAAGACTTCACTCAGGTAAAATGAGCAAACTATGCAAGAACTAGACACAATCAGTACTGTCAGAATTGGACCTCTTTAGGTTTCAGCTCTTTGTGATACTATTATTAGACATTTGAAAGATCTACACAAGTTTGTAAAATGGCCAAATGTGACTGGTAAGCATCACAAAAGGAGTTACTTGAAACATTATGAAACAACTGTCTGAGAGTATGCATAAAGAAAATGGCCCAGCTTTTCCCCTCTGGTGGTGATCCAGATGAGACGGATCAGAGTATTTTCTTAACTCATTCAAGATGTCGGAATGGGCAGAGAGGGTTAAACCTCTGCGTGCAATGCTGGCATCCCACATGGCACCAGTTCAAGTCCTGGATGCTCTACTTCTGATCCAGTTCCCTGTTAATGTGCCCAGGAAAGTAGCAGTTGATGGCCCAAGTGCTTGGGCCCCAGCACAGGTAGGAGACCCGGAGGAAGCCCCTGGCTTCAGTCTGGCCCAGCCCTGACTACTGAAACCATTTGGGGTCTGAACCAGCAGATGGAAGTGTTCTCTCTCTGTCTTTCTGTCTCTCTCTCTCTCTCTCTCTCTCTCTCTCTCTCTCTAACTCTACATTTAAAGTAAAGTAAATAAATAAATCTTTTTGGAAAGGGAATGGGATCAGCAAGGACAAGATCTACTTCTCCAGGGATTAATTACCCCCGTAGGGGGTAGACAACTAGTGCTGAAGCAAAGACAGCTTCCTCTGTGTGCTTTCCAATAGCATTCATGAACCTACTGCTCTCTCTCTCTCCCTCTCTCTCTTAGAGCCATACTGAGCAGGACCCTACTAAATTCTGTATGAATGAATACCACTTAGTAGGACATGGTGTCTTTCATCAGTATGAACTAATTCTTAAAGATTTTTTTTTATTGGAAAGGCAAATTCACAGAAAGGAGAAACAGAAAGACCTCCCATCTCCTGGTTTAGTCCCCAAGTGGCTGCACTGGCAGGAGCTGAACCAATCCGAAGCAAGGAGCCAGGAGCTTCTTCTGGATCTCCCATGTGTGTGCATGGTCCTAAGGCTTTGGGCTGTTCTCAACTGCTTTCCCATGCCAAAAGCAGGGAGCTAGAAGTAGAGCAGCCAGGAAATGAACCAGCACCCATTTGAAATCCTGGTGTTTTCAAGGCGAGGATTTGGGCGTTGAGCCATTGTGCCAGCCCCTATGAGCTAATTCTTAATCTGTCTTTATTCCTTAATCTCTGATCATTATCATAAACAAGAACATAGTAGAACATTTCTTATGTTCCATGTGTTCTTCTAGATGCTTTATAAATACACAATCACTAAGTAAATGAAAATATATTTGTATCCAGGCAAGTGCTGATATGTGGATAATGTGATGTTAGGAATAAACTGCAAATTTTAAATTTTAATGTTTGTCATTGAGCAATTGTAAGCCAATTCACATAACACTGAAAAAAAGGTGAAAACAAAAAGGTAACATAATAAAGTAGCTAAAGCAGTGGTTGAGAATCTGGAGGCTCCAGTCCCCATCCTGTTTCTTCACTAGCTAGGTGCCCTGGTGAGAGTCTCCTCAGTGTGGACCTAGACTTTCTACATGAATCATGCATGAGATCATTTTCAGGATCATTGCTGCATCTTAAAATTCTCATCTTCTTAAATAAGATACAATATAAAATAGTATTGTTTGGGCCCGGCGCGGTGGCGCAAGTGGTTAAGGTCCTCGCCTTGCATGCCCAGGATCCCATATGGGTGCCGGTTCTATCCCAGCAGCCCTGCTTCCCTTCCAGCTCCCTGCTTGTGGCCCGGGAAGGCAGTCGAAGACGGCCCAAAGCCTTGGGACCCTGCACCCGAGTGGGAGACCCGGAAGAGGCTCCTGGCTTCGGATCGGCATAGCATTGGCCGTTGCGCTCACTTGGGGAGTGAATCATCGGACGGAAGATCTTCCTCTCTGTCTCTCTTCTCTGTATATCTGCCTTTCCAATAAAAAAATAATAAAAACAAATCTTTAAAAAAATTACTTGTTTTAAAAAAAATAGTATTGTTCAAACAGCTGGTAGGAAAAGCTTATTACCTCTGCAATCATTCTGTTGGTGTCCCCCAAGAACAGCAGGTTCAGAGCCTCCTCCTCCGTGGTGGCCTGATGAAGAGACAGGTTTTTCAGGTGAATGTTCTGATCTGGGTCCTCCAAGATTGTCACTTTCCTAGGGAGATGGGAAGCAAGAAGACAAGGTATCCTTGAGAATGAAGAGAACTTAAAAGTGTTTGTTTTATCAAGCTATATAATATGATTTCTTGTATTTAAAAAACTGAATAACACAGGATACCAGAGAGCATTGGATTATCATTAACTACTGACAGTCTTCCTGACAGTATTATCAAATAACTTTGTGGTTGAGAAACAGAAGATCCTGTCAAAGTAATCATCAGGTCACTAAATCTTGCTAAGTTGCACATTCTTGCAGAATTAAAAATGAAAATAGATAATAACTTTAACTATCAGGAAACCTGGCCATATCATTCTTTTGAGTGTTTCTTGCAAACAGATCACACTAACTCTTTGGTCCCATTGCGTGTCACTCTCAACTCACACAACACTCCAAACGATGTCACTTATCAACTTAAACTGGGTGAAAAGTCAAGGCGTCTGTGGTCCCTCCAGAACTGGCACCCTTGTCGAGTTTTCTCATTGGGAGTAGAAATTGTAACTACTCTTATATTGTCAGAGTAGAATTCTTACAATGAATATTTAGCTTGTCATCATAATTTTTATGCCCATCCAATTAGTTTTTTGGTCCCTGTTTTCTTCACAATATGCCTTCTCCTGCCATTACATCAGTACAGCCAGAGTCTTACAGGTGGAATTATATTTACCTATTACCTTAATGGACAACCTGGTGCCAGCACCACTTCCCCCCATGAGAATCCTAAACCCTTTTTCCAATAGGTGACTTGTCAATACTCTCCTTAAAATTCATTTAGGATTTTTCTGTGACTAAAAAAAAAAAAAAAACTCCTCACAGCTGCTGTACCCAAGTCACTGGAGACCATTTCCTTCTGCCCGTGCAGTTATACTCCAAAGAGGAATCATCTCCAGGTATCTTCGCTTCACTTAAAACATTTGGAGCTGGTGACAATAAGTAAAGGTTGGTGGTGTTTTTTAAAAAGGATAACTAGCAAACAGATGTGTCACTTTTCCATTTACAAAAAACCTACAATACCTTAAAAAGGAAGATTTCGCAAATACCATGCTATTTTCAAGTTAGTTAGCCATTCGCATGTAATTTGTGGGCACTTAAAATACTAATTACAGGAAGAAAACGTAGCTCTACCAGCACATCTGTGGCCAATATGTCACTAATAAGGCATTCCCTGGCCAAGATTTGGACTCCTTTTCATCTCCTTCAACAATACCAGCAAAGATGGAAAAAGATCTCGTCCCTTAATGAAAACAAGTGTAATTTATTTACTTTCAATAAGACTCATAAGTGAGCTTATTAAAAATGCTTAAGAGTTCAAAAATGCTTGGAAAATATGAAGGCATGCTTAATTGAAATGCATGAACTGTATTCTATTTTTAGGAACCCCTTTCCATTTCTTAAATTTTATTTCCACCCTGATCATTCTGAAGCATTCAAGAAGGTTTGGCTAAATAAAATCCTTAAGAGGACAGAAGCCAGAATTCCTCCAGAATGCACAGATTCTGGGGATGCAAACCTTCTACCTTTGAGGTGAGAAAAAGTTAAGTAATATTCAAAGATCACAGCACGAAATAAATGAGGAGATGGTGCATTAGAAAAGAGAAAAAACCAGAGATGACTTTTTCAGCCCCAAGCCAAAAACAGATCTCTAGCTTTGAGGCAAAATCGGCATTACAATGACACACCTAAGAGCAAGCTAGACATGCTGCTGTTCCTGTGCAGTCTAAGAATTTTTAGTTTGACTAGGTTGGGCCATTGTTCTGAAAATTGAAATTTGTAAAAGCTACAAATTAGAATGTGACGTGCAGCCGAGGCTGAGAGTCACTGACCTTATCTTTCAGGAACTTACCAAGATGAACATCGAGAGGGAAGGTTTCTGGTTTCTTTTCTTCAAAAAAAAAAAATTATTTGGAGGGCAGAGGGATTATCTCCCATCTACTGTTCACTCTCCAAATGCCTGGCTGAACCAGTTAGGGGCAGGAACTCAAACCAGGTCTCTCACATGGGGTGCAACAACCTGAGCCATCACCTCCTGTCCTCTAGGGTGTACCCCAACAGGAAGTAGTCAGGGATTCTGCCTAGGGCTACGGGCCCCCCAAGAGCACTGCCCTGATTTCTGATTTCTTAATCTTTACTTTATATTCCGTTCCATCCTTATGTGCAAAGGGGGAAGTTATCTCACCGGTCCAGCTAAAAACACTGATGAGCCAAATATCGTAACAGGTAAGATCAGTGTGAATTTTTAAAAAGCCCATTTTCCCATGGCAAATTTCTTATCTACCTCCCTGTCCATGCAGCCAGTAGGTACAGTAAGTCATGAGACTTACACAACAATAACCAATGCTCAACTGAGGACTGTAAATCTAATTAAACATTACAGGACTTAACATCATTTCTGAATGAAAAAAAAATGTTAATGATGACAGAGATGCAGCACACATATAGCTCCTAGGCAAACCGCATTGAAACAGAAAACAAGTATGCGTGGAAACAAGTATGTGTGGCCTTCTAAGCATTACCATTTAAGAGACTACCTCAGTGGGTTACTGACCTAAGGTTATTTTTATGTAGAATAATTATGAGCACAAGCTAGAATATATTTGCTGAATGTCATTAATGGTGGCTAGTCACAGCTACTACATTTCTACATATATGAAGGTACTTCCAAAAGTTCATGGAAAATGAGATTTAAATTCCATTTTCCATGAACTTTTGAAGCACCAGATTGTTTTCACGTGCTTGACCGGCTTGGTCATGCTGATCAAAATATCATTTGCACCTGCTTCCAATTTTTATTCTGAGGAAAACTTGGCACCTTTGGTGTAACCCATTCCCATGCCCTTCTCTTTTTCTGATATGTTTCCCTCACTCGTGTCTGATTTCTTGTCCCTAGAGGTTTTGGAAAGTAAAAAAAGGCAAGGTTAGTCTCCAACAAGTTTGGCTTCTTTCAGGTGCTCCTCCTCCTCTCTCATTTGTGGGCAACCTATTTTTAAAAAAAAAAAATCCATTTTTGGCAACCTTCTGGAATCTTTGAGGTGCAACCTTCTCTCCAAATCAAAGCTGTTCTTGCCAGATCTTCTCAAATTCTTGGCATGGGACCGCAGACTGGTATTTGTCCTGTTTCCCTTCACTGAAAACCCCTGTAGCAGTGTTACAGGCCCTGCTTCTCTCCTGCCTTTGCTCTTGGAAACCCAGCCTGAGCCAGCCCAACTACTGCATTGGGAAGGTAACTATCGATGGGGAACACTTTGAACTCTACTGCCAGTGGAACAGGTTTTCAAAGTTTGAAGAAATTAACACTATCTGCAAAGGTTTCTGATAGCAATAGCTATTTTCTCTCTCCTTTCTTCCCCCTTCCCTCTCTCTCTTGCTCTCTCTACTTCTCTCTCATCAGTAGTTATTTCCAGAATCCTGAGTCCACCTTTTGATTCTGACTACAATTTTCATAGGCTTGAAAGAGTTCTTTATTAGAGTTTCTTAAATAAACATCCTAACTCCAAGATGGAAAACCCCCAAACTATTTATGCATTTGATTCTTCTTCAATGGGCCTGTGGACAGCTTGCCCTACAAAATGTTTCTAAAATGCTGAGATTTCAAGCAAAAAGTCACTGATAGCCTTAACTTGGACACCTACATGGAAAAGTTCTAAGTGTACCCAGCCTGTTTAATGATGGGGAAGAAGCAAGCTTTGTGTTTTTTCTGTAAACAGAGAATCTTTTCCATTTGGCTAAGTGGCTGGAATGTGTAGGCTCTTTTTAACTGACTGGAAGACATACAAGGAGTGATAGCCAAGCTCTTGTTCTCAATAACGCAAACATCAGGGCGAGAACTCTCCCTGCTCGTGCACACCCTGCTTCCGCAGCACCCCAAGGCCACCAACCTGCCAAGCAGGAGCTTTCCAGGAGTTACTGCAGCACATACGTGTTTGCTTTTTCATGGGACTGACACGTGTTACCATGGTGATTTCTGTTTTGGTTTACTTGCAGATGTCCCGTATGATTGTGCAGGCCATGCATGGCACAACAGTACCATGTCCAAAGGGGTCCCACTCACCTTGAGAGTTTGTGCATTTATTATGATGCATGTCTGTTCGACAGCAGTAAAGTGTCTCCTAATGACAGTATCACATTGCAACAATGTTCCCAACAGATTGTCTGGGAACCTTTTTAACATCACATAAAAATACCATACAGACTAGGAGTCGCTTTGTCCAGATACCTTTTTCAGGACTGTACCAATAGCAGGTGGGCCTCAGGGAAGCATGAGGGGGCTGCCTGGATGTTTCAAAATTGTTCAGTTTGGTTCATAAATTGTAAGCACAGTTACATTACCATTTAGTTCAGCAGTCCTCATTCTGTTTCAGCACATCACATTTTTTCAGATGTTCAGATATGAACCTTTTAAAAGGTTTCCTCTGTTATAAAGTACAAATACTTGAAATGCATCACTTGAGAAAGTCCTAGGAAACTGCAAGAAATGTTTGCTTTATGGTTGACCTAGACAAAATGAGCTAAACATTTTCTCTGTTTAGACCCTATTGAGATATTGTGAAAAATCCTTGTAATGGTTTGCTCACGAGCATACTCTTTCTTTCCAGTTTTCTCTAACAATGTGTTTTTTCACTGAACATAAAGCTGATCACATGGCATTTCAGAAATTGAATTATTCTAATACAGTCATCTGAAAATATCAGTTATAACTTTTTTAAAGGGGCACTAGAGTACCCGAACAAATTAAACACTATCAGAGGAAAGAATAAATCTAGATTCCAAGCTGCAAAATATTCTGAGTGATTCTGTGGTTAATTTTGTTTTATTATTGCAGGGATTTGTTTAATCTGAAGCTGGTAAATATGCCGTCCTAAATCTTTTCATTATTATTTTAAATTTATCTGTGTCACTAAATTGTAATATGATTACACTTGAACTCCTAATTTCCCAAAGAACGTAATGAAGCACCCCTGCTTATCCTACTACGGTTAAGTCTGTCATTTCGGAGGGGC